GAATGGACTATTTTCTGTGGCATGTCCAATAATAAGTGTTAATGGAAAACTATAACCTTTTTTCAAAAAACAGGGCCACTGAGGATTCTAATTCTTCAAGAATGAATGTTTGAGATGTCCCACCAGGTAAAGAATCTTGAGTATTTGAGGTGCTAGCAGAGGAAATATAGAATAAATAGTAGAAGAAACTGGTAAATATCTACCATAGCCTTATGATCAGTAACAGAAGGGCTATAGCAGCATGTGTGTGTGCGTGCGTGAGCGCGCGCGCGCGCGCACACACACACACACACACACACACACTTCTCTTCTTACAGTTTGCATCACACTAGAAGTGACAGCACCATAATAATGGCATCTGGTTTTGTTCCAGCATCAGCCACTGGTGTTAGCTTCTAACTTCATGCAATACTTAAAAAAAAAAAAAAAAAAAAAAAAAAAAAAAAAAAAAGAGGCTTTTGCATCCTGTCAGATGTACAAGCATCAGCTAAGGAGGAATTCTTTCTCATTCTGGGGCCAAATTCCTAGGGCCCTTCCTCTGAAATTCCAAGTTCTATTAACCTGAACTTCTCCCAACCTGTTTTCTTTTTCCCACCAGTACTAGGAGGGACTTTGTGACCTTCAGTAGTTATCAGGGGTCTCTCCCAGGCAGACCTGCCCTGGAGGAGGCCTCCTGGAGTGGGTGCCTTGGACTCCACACAGTCCTGACTCTATCACCTTTCTCACAGAATGCTGCAACTGCAAGTCTACTCTAGCCCTAGGCTCCCATCCTTGGTGACCAGCAGCACACACCTCCAACTAGCCCTGGTGGTCCCGGTGTTTCCTGCAGTCATTATATCTGGATTGTATTGGTATCCCCTTTTTGTTCTTTCAACCTGCTCCATATCCGTGTAACTGGTTTCCTATATGAAATTCCCTCTGAAATTCCTAGTATGCTTTTTTTTTTTTTTTCTTTACCAAACCCTAACTTAAGGAAATAACTTAACATTCCTAATCAGAGAAGGCCATTGGGTGTGGTTGTCAGCCACAAAAAGGTTTTTTTTTAAGTTATCAGTTGAGAAATTTGCTTACTAGCTATAATTACTCCATTTCAGAACCTAGAAAAGATAGTGAATTTAACTAGAGTTTTTCACTAGCAATCAAAAAAGCTGAAAGGAAAAGAGAGAGACTATTAGTTCATGAATGAACCCATCAGTTTTCACTAATGTTCGAAGACATCCAAATAGTGCAAGGGCAACCAAAATTGTTGACCCCAAAAAAGCATTTTTCATTATAAGCTGAAGACTACCATCCTTTAATTTGACCTTCTCAATATTCCTTTCTAATTAATCAAGAATTTAAAATGTAAACTGTAACTTAAAATAAATTTAAAAATTTTTTAAATAATTTTTAAAAGGACACTGATTAGTAAAGGAAAATCTATAGAGAAATCTATTTTAGATCTAAACTTCAACTAAAGGAGTATTTTTATCCTTACTTAACTTTCCTCTACAACCCACACAGGTCCTTGGAAGGCAGTGAACAGCAGCAAAGTAAACAGGAACTCTGCACTTGTTTATTTCAATTCTTAAAAGCACATCTCACGGTAAAATCTCTAGGTACAAAAAAATACATATTTAAAAGATAAACTTGTCTTCAGAAAAAAATCTAATATTTTAAATGGGCATCAGAGAAGACAATAAATAGAAACTAATCAGCCAAAATGGATGTTTTCTAAATCAGAAAACATTGGCATTTATATATTCTGAAAGCATAATGGTCAAGGTTTGAAAACAAGTCCTGTCTTCTCTAGGTTTTCTCCATGAATTAAACAATGGACAAAAAAATATACAGTACACCTGTCTGGGTAATAAAATAAATATGAACTGATAAGTACCATCCATTTAATGAGTAAAATTAAACTATTAACTCATAAAATTTTAGAAAACATATAATAGGCTCTCTTTCAGAAATTACTTGTATTTCATTAGCACTTCTTTCTAACAATAACTATCTCTAAAAATAATTTTTAAAGAGACTTTGGACAATATGCTAAGTATGTAAAATATTATACCAAAATGTAATAGCTATATATGTACTCACTAGGTGTTTATGACTAAATGAATGATTTACATTTGTGACTGCATAAGTTATACACTTTATAAATATGTTTTATTAGCAACATATTGTCTAGTGAAATAAGCCTTTAGAGGGTGAGGCAAAAGACTTGCTTATATTCCTGACTCCATCAACATCAGGCTGTATCATCTGGACAAGGTCACTTCATGACTTATTCTTTCTACCTGTAAAATGAGGGATAATAATCTGCCTTTACTTGCTTACAACTAAAATAATAACTGTAAAAACAAAGCTGTGGGAGAAAGGTGTTATATACATGTATTAAATTTCAACTTTTTTACCCAATGTAAAAAAAATCAACACAGAAGTTGTGACATGACTGACTTACTGACCTTAACGAGGACAGTGTGATATAAAAGAAAAATTATGGCTTTTAAAAGATAACAATCCAGACTTCACTACCTACTACACTTGTGACCTTGAATGAGTCTATGTACACCCTCTAACCTTTAGTTTCCTCATCTATGCTACATGAATACATTTATCTCTTAACGTTTGTAATGGGTATTAAATAAGAAAAAAATATGTCAATTATCTAGCACAATAAGTTAAACATTTAAAAAAAGGGTTTTTTTTAATGTTGTTGCCCAGATGGGTTGGCTTAGTGGTAGAGCATCGACCTATGAACCAGGAGGTCACTATTCGATTCCCAGCCAGGGCACATACCAGGGTTATGGGCTCAATCCCTAGTGTGAGGTGTACAGGAGGCAGCCGATCAATGATTTTCTCTCATCATTGATGTTTTTTATCTTTCTCTCCTTCTCCCTTCCTCTCTGAAATCAATAAAAATATATATATTTTTTAAAGTTGTTCCTTTCCCCGTAAACTTTATGAATACATTAAAAACCATATTCCCACTTTTAAATTCACACAAATATCTGATTTCAAAAAAAATTTATAAAAAAAAGCAGAGGGATTGGGCTCTTCTCCCTCCAAACATAATTCTTTCTTTTGTTTGTTTGTTTAAACTATTTTTAGTAACTCTCTGTTAATGTATAAACTGACAAATTAAGAATCACTTGTATTCACAGACTACATTCAACTTTACTATAAATATCAAACATACGATACAAATATCCTTTTAACTGCCAACATATACCATTCCTAGCACTGTGTCTTCCATTTTCGGTATTAAACCTATGAGTAAGTGCAAAGAGCCTCTTTCATTTCCCATACAGAATAATTTTCAGTTATATTGAATCCACAGTGGTTTCAAAGCTGAAGAAGAAAAGTTAGTAGGAAGGAAAATAGTTGAAAACTGTAACTAGACACAACTGACTTTCTTCTGTAATTAATTCCTTTCATTTTACAAGCAAACAAAAACAATCCACCCATTCTAATAAAAGTTATACCCCAAATATCATAGTAACCAATTATATAGTAATCAATTCACTTATAAATCTCTAGTTACAAAATATGTTAAGCAAAAAGTATCACCAGCAACAAAGAAGATGTGATGTTTCCAGGGATAAGGGAATTTCTGTAGTTCGTTCATCCATAGCAAATACCATTAAATGTAAGATATATCCAGTATGAACTCAGAACCCAACAGCTGAATCCACAAGGGCTTAGCAGGCAAAAATTTTGGCACAAAAAACAAAATAATATTTATTCAAGAATAAAACTGGAGCATATTTTGCAGTCTAAAACTTTCTAAACCAAGAAGAAAAAAAGATCATGAAGGAGGCTCCTATAATCATCTGGTTTGCTTTCTAGACAAGGTTAGGATAAAATGCTTTTGAAGCAAAAAAAAAAAAAAAAAAAAAAGATCAAACAAAAAATTAAGCACAGGCTTTAGAAATGAGCTATGTTTACTCTAGATGAAACTCTTGACAGTTTTTAAAAACGGGTAAAGGATAGGTCCATTTATCCTTACTTTTACCTAAAAACCATTAATCAAAAGGTAACACAGGTATTAAACAGAATTTTGCTTCCTTTCTAAATATACAGTTTCCTAAAGTACAGTACATTTTGCTGCTCCTTGTGAATTTTTTTATGTTTTTGCAACAGCACTTTTCTTCCTCTCCAAACAGCCTCTTTTCTAGGCTGCTGTTTCTGTTTGCCTCATCTGCACTTCGAAGATCACGCTTCAGTGCCTTAGAAATCCCAGCCACCAAAATTCAAGCCAAAGTCTGAATTGAGAAAAGGGAGGAGGGGATGTCAAGCAATTAAACTACATTTGGAAGGGAGAATGGTTTTACCTCCTATGACTTTATAGAGCACTCTTTTAATCCAAAACTAGAGAGTCTCCAATTTTAAGAAAAGTTATGAGTGTATTTTTACTTAAGAAGTTATTTTGTAGCAATTATAGATCTCTTGACATCTTCCAATTTTACCTTCTGGCACTGACACAAAACCACGAAGACCATTCCACGTGTCAATACTGGATTCTTCAGGTAAAGAAATTCAGTTCTCTGCGAAGTTCACTTTTAGGACTTACTGAAATTATGGCAAGTTATTATGTACTTATTTTAGAAACCAAAAGAAAGGAAAGAAAAGAATGTAGTGAAGTTGGAGATAAAGCCTGTAGAGGTAGATGAAAACCATGCTCTGACTCTATTGAACCATGTATTGTTTTCTCACTACCAATGGTTTAAAGGATTTGGTTCCTTCATCTAATAATTAGACAATGATCTTGAAAAGCTTTCTTAAAAATAAAATAAAACCTCCTTTAAAAATATCACATAACATTATATGGTTGAAAGTTGAGACTTTAGCAAATATAACTAACAAAAAAATATTTGAAAGAATAGAAACTATATTAAAATGAACTTATACACCAAAGATCAAATGCTCTACCAAAAAGTGAGACCAAAAAATTAACAAATGACTCTTTTTTGCTTTGCTAAATTCCCATCTTACCTTTAAACACTATAACATACCTTTGTAGAATGCCATTTTCCTGGGGTATTACACCATTGATAGCTGCCTGCAAACAGAAAACAGAGACAACCATTTAAGGAAACAAAAAATTGTTCACAGGTAGATCGCAGTGGGGTGGTGAACATTGTAAGAGAAATAAATATATTTTGAAAAGTCTAAACAAAATACTAAATGTTTCCTTAATGATACAAAATATTATCTATGAATTTGTTTCTCTATTTCTCTATAATAAAACCTTATTTTAGACAAATTTTAAAGCATATGTTTGGTATAATAATACCCCCAAATTTTGAGTTAAAAAAAAAAGCTTAATTCCACACATTCAAGTAATACACCAACAAAACCAATGCTTAAGGGTGTGAAAAAAAGGTAACTCAGTACCTTTATGTAATTTTTTAAATACTATTTTCTTCCTCAGGGTGAAAAGAACAAGATATAAAATCACAAATGAAAAGCTCCAATAAGAATTTTAAAATTAGCTCAGGAATTAATTCATTCTTTCATGTTATAATCATTTTTTTTTTTAAAGAACATTTAAAAGGGCCCAACTTGTGTGGCTCAAGGTTTGAATGTCAACCCATGAACCAGGAGGTCACATGTCCCTGTCAGGACACATGTCTGGGTGTGGGCTCAATCCCCAGTGGGGGGCATGTATGAGGCAGCCAATCAATGATTTTCACTCATCATTAATGTTTCTATCTCTCCCTCCCACTCCTTTCCTCTCTGAAATCCATATATATAAAAAAAAATGTTTAAAGAACATTTAAAAGGGAAAAGCATAGAGACAAAAGTTTTTTGATAAACACAACACCGTAATTTTATCAGATCACAAAAGGAGGCAGAAGCACCAATGGGGAAGTTTCCTTATATAAAACACTAGAGGCCCCGTGCATGAAAATTCATGCACTGGTGGGGGTCTTTCAGCCCGGCCTGCCCGCTCTCAAAGTCTGGGAACCCTCGGGGCAGGAGACGACCAGTGATCAGGGGAAGGCAATGCCCCCATCACACCTCTGCCAGCAGTGCTAGCCTCAGCCAGCCCTGGTTACCTGAGCCTCGGGCAGCCCTGGGCAGCTGCCATCTGAGGCTTGCCTGTGCCTCGGGCTGGCCCTGAGCAGCTGGGGGCTAAGGGAACTGGAGGACTCCGGAGGAAGGTGTGCGGAGCAGCCAGACCCACCTGGAGGCAGGCCCAGCCGTGCCATGCGCCTGCCACCCTAGCAGGGCTGAGGGGACTAGGCACCGCCATCTTTGAGGGTGTGTCAGTCAATTAGAATATTCCCTCCATATTGGCTCTGGGTGCCGCCATCTTTGTGAGGGTGTGGCGGTCAATTAGCATATTCCTGCTTTATTAGATAGGATTCCTAAAATTGGTCTCTAAGCTAACAAGTCACCAATTACTTACAACACTGCACAAAAGTGACATGACATGGAAGTTCTAAACAAGCAGGCTGTTACATCCTAGATTGTGGGCAGTTCACTGCAGGGTGATAGAGAAGATGGTCTGGAGGAAAATAATGACCTATCCAACATTATCTTTGCATCATAACAACTTTTTCCCTCCCTTTCCCCATCTATGTACACATCAAAATGGAAAAGAAAAGAAGCTAACACTTCAATGTTTTATCAGCTATCTGGAAATCAACCACCAAAAGGAGTTTATGTATTTTGTAAAATATATTTGATAGAGGTGGGTCAAGTTTACAATGTTATACTGTTGAATGGAAATAAAGTAGAGTATAAGATGCTTGCTATGAAGTTTGAAAGCTATAATGCCCTACTGGCAAAAAAAAAAAAAAAAAAAAAAAAAACACCACAAACACACACACAAACAAATAAAGACATCCACAGATTAATATGTACAGCAGATGCCGTAGCCCTGACAACTCTGGAGGCTCAATTACTCCTTTGAGTCGAATGCTAAAATCAGTTTTCAAAGCCTCAAATTGAATGGAAGCATCTCTGCCTAGTGCCAGGTCAATTATCCCTTTTCTGTTGAGAGCAATAGTTCCACATACAATACCTGTTTTGCTAAAAAATAAAAAATGGTAAGAGAATGTTCTATGGTATTGGAAAAGAAACAAAGTACCATAGTTTGGAAAGATTTTGTACAAATTTTCCCTAGGGAATGCCAAAGTATAATGGAAAGAACACTAAGGATTTATAAAACTCCAAGTTTGAATCTAGACTCACCCATTTATTAATTTGGTGACCTTTGTATATTCTATATTCACTGAGCCACAGAGCCTCAGGCTCCTCATCTGTAAAATAAGCTAATACTACAACCAAAATTTCATTCCTCAGAGACATCAAGTTCTTCTATTTCTCACTTAGAGCCTTTGAAAATACTTTATCTTCTGCAATGTGGTTTCCCCAATCTTTGTCTGCCTACATCTTAATAATCATAAGAGCTCTTGTTAAATATACTTTTTAATTTTTTTTCTTTGATCAACCCTCATCTAAGCAGGTTTACTCTCACATAAAACTCGGTACTATTCCTTCTTATAATTGCTAATTACTTATTTGGTGATTATTTGTTTTATGTCTGCCTTTCTCACTAGACTTTAAGTTCCATGATATAAGAAATGATATCAACTTTGTTCACCTCTTAATCCCATTGCCTAACACATTTGCAGCAGATAAAAGACACTCAATGATTATTTACGAGGCCAGAAAGCCACACAATCAAGGATTGAGAAAATCTCAAAGAAGCTTCCTGGATGAAACAACTAAATATCTCAACTAAAACTAAAGGATAAATGGAAAGCAGTACTAGTGTTTGGTAGACATATGTTTTTATTTCTATTGAGCAAAATCTTGAGAGTGGAACTGTGGGATTGTATGTTAAGTGTGTGTTTAACTTTATTTAAAACTGTCAAACTGTTCCCAAAGTAGTTATACCATTTTACATTCATATCAGCAATGTATGAGAGTTCCAGTCCTCCTAAATCTTCACCATCATTTGATGTTGTTAGTCTTTTTAATTTCAGCCATTTTAGTGTGTTTGAGTGGTTCTCTTTTTAAATATTGACTTTTATTGATGATAAATTGATCCCATTTTAAGTGTAGAACTTTTTAAGTTTTAACCGATGCATGTACTCATCTCTACACTTCCCTGTAGTGCCTTCCCTATCATTTCCCACCTACCCCAAGTAATCCTTAATCTGACTTCTTTAACTAAAGATTAAATTAATATTTTCTAGGCATTAAAGACTAGTTCAATAAATGGCGTGATAATCTGGATATGAAGACTTTTTGTTATAAAGATGTTCTCTCCAGATTCATTTTCAAATTCAATATAATTTAAACTATAATCCTGGCAGATTTGTTTGTGGGAATTTATAATCTGATTATCATATGAACATGCAAAGATCCAAGCATAAACAAGATAATCTTGAAAGGAAAAAGTTTAAGGATTTACTCCACCAGATTATCAAGACTTTAAAATTTACCTGTGCATTACATTAAAAAAAGGTAGTATTGAAGCAAGAATAAACAAGTAGAGCAATAGAACAGAATAAAGAACTCATAAACAGATCCACACATATAGAAATACTTGACTTATGACAAAGTCATTCAATAAGTAATAGTAAATCAAATGGATATCCATGAGGGGAAAAAAAATGTGAGCCTATCTCATACCACACACAAAAATCAACTCCAGATGAATTATAATCTAAATGCAAAAAGCAAAGCTTTTTTAAAAAATCTGTATGAACATCTTCATTAGCTTAGGATAGACAGAGGTTTCTTTTAAAAAAAGAGGACTCAAAAAGCAAATTCAATTAAGGAAAAGATTAATAAGCATAACTATATTAAAATTAGTCATTTCTGCTCATTACGAACCACACTTAAAAGCAAAAAGGCAAGCTTTTTTGAATGGAAGAAGATCTTCACAACACATAGAGCAAACAAAGAACTCCTAAACAGAACTACATAGAACCCTTGCAAATTAACAGCGAAGAGACATATAATCCAATAGAAAACTAAGCAAGAGATTTGAGTGGGTACTTAGAAAAGAGCATAATCAAATGGCCATTAGGATTCTAGTAAGTATAAATTAAAACCACAATGAAATACCTCTATATGCCCAAGAGAATTAATAAAAATAAAAAGACTGACAATATCAAGTACTGGCAAAGACATAGAACATCTGGAATTCCTATAATGTGCCAACATAATGTAATTGGGTGCAACAACTTTTATGAAAGATGTGGTGGAGAAAAGTGGGACAGGGAGGTATACTACTGCAAGAAGCTATATTCTAACATGAAGGTGAAAAATGGAACCAGGCTAGTCAGAAAATTCTGTAGTTTGGTGGGACAGAATACATGAAAAAGACACTATTCTTAAACTATCTATTCAATAAGTCTGCACAATAAGTTCAAACTATCTGCACAATTTGGCTTTCACAGTGTTAGCAACTGTGAAAAACTAACATTGTGTGTTATAAACCATAACTTGATTCACTAAGCGGCCTCTTATTAGAGCCTAACCTCAAAGTGCTGACACCCATCTGCTGCTTTCCTCAACACATTCCACAATAGAAAACAGGCATGTATGCCAGGGTAAGTAGGAAACTGAGACTGCGGCTCAGCATTAAAGGCAGTCAAAGGCAAAACGCCTTCCCAGAAGTCCATTCCTCTTTCAGAGCATTTTGTACTACTGAGTGGAAACATCAGGAAACCAAGAATCTACCCACTCACCCTTCTTTTTCCTATTCCACTTGTTTCTTCTAAATCTTGGCAGCTATACTTCATCCTTTAACTGAGCTGCCAATTATTGACAAACCAAGGGCCAGCGTTTCAGTTGTTTAAATTTCATGAGCCAAACTGCTTTTGCAAGTGAGTAGAATAAGAAAAATATTATTCCAAATTTTAAAAAAGCATTATTAATAGCCTGAAAGAAATTGTGAGGTTACAGAAGTAACAGTAGTTTGGTCATTAGATTCTGGCACGCACATACAATCAAACCTTGGTGCCTTGCTATCTCCCTTTTAGAGTCAGGTATCTGCATCCATATCACAGAGATCTAGATTAAACACTGTTTAGC